TTGTCCCTTGGCAAAGTTCAAGTGTAAAAGGTTTATCAAGGGGACCAAGACTTGGGGGTTGGTCACCCATCGAAGAAAGACATGGTGTGTCCTGGGGGCCGTTTCCGTGTATTTATCCCTCTCCATGTGGTCCTCTCGTGGGGGGGAGGAAAACCCTCGGGCAAGCACATTTTCAAAACACAGGGTTGTTTAAAGTTTTTGCTTGCTTTGAGTTTTGGGGGCTTGGTTTCCACCTGGTAATGCAGGAGAATTGTTTCATTTTGCCCTCGGGTTTTTTTTTGGGGTAATGGGTTTTTTTTCCCATTGGCACAGGTCGGGGCAATATTTACCGAGTTTCCCGAGCACGGCCTGCTCTTGCCAATTGTTTTGCAATCTTTCATCGAAATGTACCTCTCTTGTCAGGACCCCCCCCCCCCCCCCCTTTCTCTCCCTCCTTCTCCGTCTCTGTCTGTCTCTCTCTCTCTCTATGTGTCCTGTCGTATTCGTATTCTAATCAATCACACAGCACGGCACCTACCAGTTTCACCACGAGGCTTGGTCCGACATCAGCGGCAAGGCCAAGAACTTCATCAAACGCCTGCTGGTTAGAAACCCACAAGAGCGCATGAGCGCGGCAGAGGTATGCATGCACACGATGACAGTCTCGTTCACAGTCTCGTTTGGAAGGCCTTTGCCAGCGGACGCTGGCCTTACGTGCTCAGCGAACAGACTATGCCGCCAATGATTTATACCGCAACTCCGCGACTCCGCCGCCGAAATAGTACCAGACTTCTGCAGCCAATCATGGCACCAGCGTTTATGGTGCACCAATACTGTGTGCAAGGCTCGAGCTGATCGCCAAGCGAGCAAAGAAACTTGTGTAATTCGTTGGAGAGCGGTGGCAACCCCCTGTGTTGGAGCCACTCCAGCCGCCACCAAGACGCACGAAAGTCGTGTCATTGTTGGAGAGGGATGACACATGACACTTCCCTTTGGGTGCCACTACCGCCACCACCTGTGATAATTCCTACCAAGCACCTAGGGAAAAATTCCACCCCGAGGCGACAAAACCTGTAGTTGTGTCACACATCAAGGTGGACTTCCGGGGTGTGTCTCGCGCTCCTGGCACCTGGGTGAAAGACAAGGCTACTGCTGTAGGGTTGAAATGAACTCATTTTCAAGACGGTGTGGTGAGCAGCATGACCTTCGTGAAACCGCTTTTTGTTCGTGGCAATGAACCGGCCGCCTAGTTGTTGGGATCAACATCTCCCTCCACCTGCGGTAGCCTTTTTGTACATGTCTTGTATTCTGTCACTTGTGAGGGAGGCAGGAAACCGGCTCTCTGCGGTAGACAAAGCTCACCTCTATCGTGTCGTGTCGTGTAGCGAAATTGATACCCTTCCTGCTGACATGTGCGCGCCGAAACTCTGGTCCCAATGGGCGTTCCTCAAAGATGAGTGATGAGTTGTAGGGTAGGCCAAAGCTGAAGCATACAGCGATGCGAGTCCCTTCCAGCCCCCCCCCCTCCCCGCCTACAGGAGTTTATCCAAATCCGGTCCCAAGTGAGAAAGTTTTCGGAATGGAATGTAGCGGGTTTGTCATCTCAACCGTAAGCATCAACTCAGGCACATAGCCGGGGAAAATTCTCTCCGTCCCCCTTGCTTTCTGTGCAGGCACAGCATCATCCTTGGCTCAATAACCACGACCCCAGCGGGAAGGATAGCAAGCTGTCGAAGGCCGCCGTTCAGAACCTTGTCAACTTTCGACAGACTAACGCCCTCAAGAAACTAGCGCTGGAGCTGGTCGCGAGGTCTTTGGACATCGAACAAATTAGAAACCTGGAAAAGGATTTCGCAAAGGTGGAGAGGATAGGGTGTATTCATGTTCACGTAAACGCGGGCCGTAGTCGTTCGACCATTCTATTGACCTCGCATCCCCGCAATGCCCGGACGCAGCGATAATGTAAGCCGGGGTTTTCGCCTCTCCAGGCTAGAGTTGTGTACGTTGCACAAGGGTGTACCAAACGCTCGCGATCATCCTTGCGGTTGTTACTGTGCCAAACCAGATATGTCATTGGTTGATCGGTTTCAGTTTCACGGGGGGGGGGGGGGGGGGGGTACTCATAGTCGTGCATGCCGTAGTCGTTTGACCGTTGACCTCGCATCCCTAAAAAGCCGGGACGGAGCACGCCCGGCTCTCACCGGACCAGGCTCTCACAACACCAAGCGCGAAGCGCCGTGAGGTATTGGGCGAGTCGGTGGGGGGGGTGTTGCTCTCTTGTTGGTTGTGCGTCGTCTTGCCGCCCTTTCATGTACGAAACCCGAGCTATGCAAGTGGCTGATTTGCTTCATTGAACCCAAACGCTGAGCATCCAATTGCCTGTGCCCACCGTGCGAATGACCCCAGCACAAAAATCGATTTGCGCAGCTGGATTGTTCCACAACCAAGAGGGTGCGAAAACCTACCGATACGTGGCAACAGTCTCGACAAGATCTGTCGGACGCCACCCGGTTCCTTTCTACTTGTATTTTTCTTTGCGAGAATAAGAACGGCTGACACACCCGATCGATTGGTGTTGTTCTGGGTGGGCTTTTTTCCGTGAATATGATGTATCTCGGAAAAGCCAGAAAACCTTGTGCGGCGACCGCGATCAAGGCTTTGCACTAAGAGTTAGTTGAGTTAGTTTATGGTTGATTCGTGTTGTAAAAAATACATGTTGTCGCTTGTTGTATTGTATACATACTGATGGACTTTTTTTTCCCATGATTGTGCTGTTTTATGTCTCTCGTCGCCAGATGGACAAAGACGGTAGTGGTACCATCAGCTTGGAAGAGTTCGACAACGTCCTCTCGAGCCAAGCCAATCTATCCAAAGGTGAGCCAATTACTGGAGAGGCGTTCCGCAGGCTATACTCTTTACGACACACCTTCGGGACTCCGGAGTAAAGTGATATCGAGAGGATATTAAGGCTAAGGAAAATATTTTGAGCCCACCTTGGCGGCAAGATAGGACAAAGTAGGAAGGAACGATTGGCCGTGGGTGATCGGTCCTGTCGGCACAATACTCGGTCCTCTCGGGGACGCGTGGTCAATGGGCTAGTCGCTGGCATGCAAAACATGAGAGTGCGCCCGGGAGTACAGGTTGATGGCGTACGGATGTAGGTGTACAGGTGTAAACACACCTTGTCCGACCGTCTGCGAGTGATCTACAAGTACCGACTGTTTTTTACGTTGGACTTGCTCTTTGCCGAGCTACCGCCGTTTGTTACGACGCTTCCATTCTGTTGGGTGAACGAACGTCGATGGTACTTCTGCATGGGTTCATCTCCTCTCCCTGGGTGCCATCGAATGCATATAGAGATGCGCGTGGGGAAAGAGACCTTGGCCCAGACCTCAATGTTAAGCTTGCACTGTGGATCACTCGTGCAGGTATGGCCTCATAAGCCGTCGCCGACGCCAATTGTTGCGTTTTCTTCGGAAGATGTACCTCGTACCTCCGAGCTCAATCAATGTCGTACCGGTCTTTCGGTGAGCTCGGGTTCACATGTTTCCTCTTGGTGTCCTCTTGTTTTTCCTGTTAGCTTTCTTCGTTGTTTGCTCCTGACGCTGTTGGTGTGTGGGTGGGTGGTGCTTGTTTTGGTTTTATCTGTGCAGCGGACATCCGTGCGATCTTCGCGAGCGTGGATGTTGACAACGGTAACGAGCTCAACTTCAACGAGTTCCTGGCGGCGACTTTGGAGAGACGGCAGCTGGACGAGATGAGACTTAAGCTGGCCTTTGATAGGTTGGACTTCGACCACAGCGGCACGATTGATGGTGCGCCACTGCCTTTTTGTGGGGACGTCCATCCCCTCTGTTGGTTATGCGGTACTGTAGCATGCTTGTGTGACTTTGTTTCGCGTTCATGGCGCGGTCATCGTTGTTGGCCAGGACGGCTGGCGTTTGTTGTGCCTTCCCTTGCCATGCCTTGCACGGACCGATGGCATTGCGACCACAGCGGGGCTGGTAGCGATGGGAGACAATATATCGTACCGTTCGTGACATCTCTCGTATCTTTCGTAACATGGTTTTGTGTTTCTGGCGAACCGTTGTTCTGGCTCGTGTATCCTTGTGTTGCAAATTGTTTGGGTGGCTCATGGTGGTTCTACTCTTTGTGTATCAAATCTACTTCGTGCTTCTGGCAGGCAGAACCAGCTTCTGTTCCGTTTCATCTCGTACCGATCGCGCGAAGGTTTAGCTGGTGTTGTCACTCATGCTCGACCTCGGCTCTTGCTGGCCTTATCATCTTTTCTTCTTGTCCTGCTTTTGTCCGCCCACCTCAGCGACCGATCTTCGAAATATCGTGGGGAGCGATCTGGGGCAGGAGGGCATCGATGAGATCTTCAAGGAGTTCGACCTCAACAAAGACGGCGAGATAGATTTCGGGTAAGCAGCAGAAGCGCAATCGTTCGGTACACTCAGCCAGTGAAGGCACAGTAGTACGGTAGCAGCGCCACAGAGCTAGCGCCGTTGATTGTTCCGAATTCCATCTTGGTCGCATCCCCAAGGTACGGAGATGGACGGGGGAAGCAAGAGGGAGGGACCGGACGGAGATAGATGGGAAAGAGGGAGCCAGAGAGAAGGGAGAGAGAGAGAGAGAGAGAGAGAGAGAGAGAGAGAGAGAGAGAGAGAGAGAAATTTCCGGTACGTGAGAGGACCGGTTATCCAGGTCTGTATTTGCGCGCAGGCACCGATATGTACAGCGTCCTATCTGATCTGATATTCCAACCCTGATACATGCGTCCGTGTTGACCTACTTTCAATATATATATTTTTCCCTTCAGTGAGTTTAAGCTGGCGATGCGCAAGGCCGATGCGCCGGGGCTGCGACTAGCAACCTACCGATCGGCGTCCATGCCACATCTCAACGTCAACTCCTCGAGCATCCGGGTGAGTCAGCCACCCACATGTAGACTTATCTTTGTACCATACCATGGGTTGTGCCGTTTCTTGCCTCCCGAGTAATACTGTATACATATTTGGTTCTTTTTGGTGTGTTGAGGCTCGCTGTGCTCTTGGAGTCATAAACACGTCGGCGGTGTGAGCTGTTGAGAGCGAGAAACGTCACTGATGGCTGCTGGGAGCTGATTCACACCAACATACTATGCTTTACTTTCATCTTGCATAACGCCTCTTGATGGCGCCATTACTAAATATGTACCAGCTCTGATGAACTCACTCCGGATGCGCGCCTTTTTGGCTACATATGATAGTGCGTTCGGTTCCGTGGTTGTGTCCGTAGCAACGCTCAATGAGCGAGTCTGTTGTTTCCTTGTCATTCCGCCTTGTCAAGGGGGCCCACAGACGAGCATACGTTTTTTCTCAACTAAGTTGTAAGCCTACGGGCGAAGCATAAGCCACGTCCTCGAAGTGTCCAAGAGTCCTACAGCAGTACATACGCTACAAACACAAGGCGTGCTGTGTGTCATCATTGTCGGGTCACTTTTCTTCGTGTAACTTCACGGTTTCGGCGGTGGCGTTTTTTCGGTAGTTTCTACGCAAATGCTACTCTCTCTTGGTTATACTATAATACGCGGTTCAGTTAATTCCTGTTATCCCTCCACGTCCCGCCATCCTGCCGCTGACCCCCCCCCCCCTACCCAGCACTTGGAGCGAACAGTGCAAGACGCTCGCAAGCAGAAGCAGGCAGCCCTCCAGCAGTTCGGCACGAACGGGCCCACCCCCGAAGAGTCGATCGACGATATGGACACGTCCCTAGACGAAGAGGACGACGACTCCAGCGCCGGCGGGGCGGGCGGCGGCTACAACCGCAGAGAGGCGGTTATGCAGGCCTCCCTCCTCCGGTGCGCGTCGGACCTGATCGAGAAGGGCCCGTTCCGACGAGCGACCCTCGAGGTCTCCGACCCCGCCGCCCAGAAGGCATTGCGGGACGCGGCCGTTTACGGCGGAGCCCCCCCCCCCCCTTCTCGGGGTCCCTCAGGACCGGACCCCCTGGCACGGAGGTTGAGCGAGGAGACAGCGGGGTCGGCGGGGGCCACGCAGATGGCCGTGGACGGGTGGAAGTCGATGCCGCCCCAGGTGGAGGAGGAGCCACATCCGTGGGGCCGCGGGGAGCACATGGTTACCGCGGCGACGGCGGTGCAGAAGCTGGTGCAGTAGTATGCTAGCGGTAGTGGTGGCGGTGGTGAGGACTGCCGTAGGTTGCATGACGTAAGATATTACACCCCCTGGACCTATTTTCAGAGGTCGATTACTCGGCGGGACGAAACAGTGACGGTGCCGAAAATGGCGGCGTTAGAACCACCTCGTCGAGAGTGTTTCCAAAACGCGCCATTTGATTTTGGCATCCTCTGCTGTCGAGGAGTATTCAGGCTTTGAAAACGGGTCCAGGGGGTATGATATCTTACATCATGGAACCTACGGTACGAGCGCGGACTGCTGGGTTTCACGCGGCGGCTACAGAGCAGCATCGAGGTTGGCAGCAGCATGGCAGCAATGATGGCGCTTTGGCGGCGATGTCCCTGGGCAGACGAGCGGCGCGTGATGACATCGACCGGCCCCTCAGCGAGGTCGGCAGAAGAATGACACCGACAACAGCTTTGGTGGCGATGTCGCCCGGCACATGAACGGTGCGCGATAATATTCCCGCGGCGAAAAGTTAGAGAACCGCACTGGGTGAGGGTTCCCTTGTACAGAGAAGGCTTCACTAAATATGGCGTTTTCGATCGGAATAGCGCCTGGCTTGTTACTTGTTACAAGCTTCGGCTTGGCCGTCATATCGTCTACACGTCGAAGCGTTTGGACGGAGCGGAGGCGATGCTTTGGTCTTCGTAGAACCTGTTTTTTAACAACTAACAACTAATAACCTGTTTCTTTATGCCAATATGTGGTGTTGCGTGCTCGACGGTGCTCGCCAGTCTATGCACTCACGTGGCTCTATCGATGAGCTTCAGAGTGCCAATATTTCCTTTTGTACAGCCCTGAGTGCGGCCATAAGACAGCATGACGGCGTGGGCGTTTGACGGATAGGATCCCTTTCCTGCTGCCGGAGGGAACGGTCGACTCGAGGTTCTCCCTACAGCAGTAGACTAGTCTATCTAGTGGGTTCTTCGTTTTGTCTGCTTTTGGCATGGTGTTCGTCGGTGGCTATGTTTGTTTTTTCCAGCTTAGTTGCATGAGTTCCAGCCGCAACTGTGTCACCGGGCATGTCTCTGACATTTGGGGCACGCTTGGCAGGTGTCTACCCTGTATGTGTTTCCACTTTGCTGGATTGTAACGCGTTCACGAGCGGGGGAACGAAAGCAGCGAGGAGGCCCCTTTTTTTTTTTTTGGCACAAAAAGTTTCGTGCCTAGACTAATCCCACGACGTCATATGCATATGTTTGCATTCATGTATTCTCGCGGTGCTGATTGGTCGCGTCGCCTAAATTGGACAGTGAAGCTCCGTTCGTTGCGGCTGTGAAGTCTTTCACGAACTCTTCGGGTTGATTTTATTGGTGGAAGCGGAGAACTCGTGGTCTCCCTTCCAAAGAAAGGCAACGGTCTCCCTGGCACGCGAGACCTACAGCAACAGCAGTACCTATACTGCTGGAGACTGTAGACCATACCCATACTGTACATGCCTATCGGTCGGTTTGGACCATACCCATACTACTACATGCCTATCGGTCAGTTATGTTTTCGTGGGCAGCCCCCCACCGTGCAGCCTCGCCGAGGTGACCGTGTTGCGGCTTTGCTTGGTGCCGAGCAGGGATCGGAACGATTTTTTGCACTGTATCGACACTAGGAGCGAAGGCGTTTAGTATTTCCGTGCGTACACTCCGGTCAGGTGGTTGTGCAATGCACACTGTTCATACAAATGCAGCCTTCCTTGTGGCTCGTTGGCACACGCAACACAGGAGGCAGAAAGGAGTACACAACAAGTGTAAACGAGCGGACCCCTAACCGTAACCCATCGACCACACACACACCAACACACCAGACCAGTACTACTACTTCAAAACCCCTACCATCGTCTTGTACATATGGTAGTCTTGTACTGAAGTACACATACATAGTTTTACTTGTAAAAAACCCGCTACAGTTGGCAAGAGATTCTGTGTCGTATTGGTGTCGTCCTGAAAATTGTCTTGACCCCCACCCCCCAATCGAGCTACACCCACACTCACTCGAGGAAGTTCAACACTATGTATTACTATGCGGATGTTTACAGAAAACATACGGAGTACACGGTAAGACTATTATCCCCGTTCGAGATATTACCACACCACCATCAATCGAAAGGGATGTACTAATGCTGAAGTATTTTCGGTGGGTGGAGGGAAAGCGGCTTGTAGAAACTGTTGTGCATTAGACTATTAGCCTGTTTTAGCCAACAACAGTAATAAAAAAAGTATAACACTGAACTACACAGGTAGTCGAGGCCGTAACGGAGGGTTTCTCCCCGACGTTTTTGTCGTTGGCCCGTAGATATGTAGCGAATACTACGGGGGAGATGTCTTCTGGTATTTGTACACCTATGGATCATGTTATATATACAAGGGCTCCGGACTTCGGGCGCAGAGGCGCCCTCGTCCTCAGTACTAGGCTTAAAGGGAAGGTGTGAAGGCTGTGCACAGCATACCAATGGCATGAAGCCGCAGGGTGACCGAATGAACGGTGTGAAGATGTTCGCGTTGTATTCGAGAAATGTGTCGTTCCGGGTGTACAGTAACATGAAGCCAAAAAAGTCGCGTGTACGTGAATTTTCGTCTAGCTTCGCCCGGTCCGGACGAAAAGGAGATGTAAGCGACGGTCGCCTCCCTATTCTTGCGCTGGTAAGAACGTAGTCGCACTCTCAGGCAACGTTCTCTGGTGGCTTTGCGGTGGCCAATATCCTCCCCAAAGGGGCCAAAGAAAGAACGAACACTGCAATTGTTCGACGGTATTGCCGGTAGTTGATGGTGTGTTGCCGCCTAGCTCTCATATTCTACCTTCTTCAGTGTCGATCCGCTCTAATGTCGCGCCCTTCTCTAATGGCCCCCTCTAATGACGCCGATATGCGGTACCCCTCACATTGTGAAAGGAGTCGAACACCTACAACATTCAGACAAAGTGGACGCTAGTTGACGGTGAAAGAGTTGACGCCTCCCGCCTCGGGTCATCGTTGCCCCTTACTGCCCTGCCTGGTGGTTATTGCCGATTGCCACTGCGGAAGGTATGGTTTCGTCTGCAGCCTTGTGCGCAGGTCTCGAGCTTCTTAATGTTGAAGCGCGAAGGTGATGGTCGTGATGATGTCGGTGATGGTGCAGGCGGTAGGGTGCCTGCGCTGGCGGCAGAATGCAATTATTGGGGAGATGGATGTAAGAGCGTGTACGTGTCATAATGCCTAGCTAGATGATACCGTATAACGTAAATTTAAAGCAGAAGAAAGAGGTTGTTGGGGAGGAGGAAATGTGGAGGCATTAAAGTGGATGTTTATCTGATCATCAAAATTTCGTTTAGCTGCGATGATTTCTTCGACACAGAATAGTTCTCCTAATGTTGTTGGAGGTCAAATATGCGGTGGTAAGCACGTCCATGCAAGGTGAGCATTGAAGGGGCTGGCGGTTCAGTCCATGTCTTTTTTTGAATACCGCCTGCGCCTAATGCAGTAAATCCGAAAAGCCCGTTGTACCTTCTTTGAGCAGAAATTAATTTAGTAGTTTCGAACAGCGCCATAAGATGGTGGGGGATAGATTTGAGAAGATGGATACACGACTTGCCTTTGTTACAACAGTTTAATCCCTTTTCTTCTTTCCAAAGTTGAGCATTGCAGTGAGAACATGTGATAATTTGTGGATCATCCAAATCCGTGTGTTTTAGCTCGAAAGGTGCCGAGGGGAAGTCGAATGATTGCGAGTCAATGTATTGCACTCCAAGGCGGATTTGGTTATTAGCATCACCGCGAAGGCTGTCTAGACTGGGTGCCGGTAACCTTGGTGCTCGATTCCTCATTTGGCTAAAATGTTGACGTATCATATCGAGTTCAGGGTCTGAGTCGTGTGGTGTGTTATTGTTTGCATTACGACGTCGACGTTCCGTTAGTATTTCAGCACGTCTTCGTCTGCGAGATCTTGCTAGTTCTGCGTGTTGCGCGTTATCCGGACAGGTTTGTGGTGTTCGAGTTTCAGGCGTCGTTCGTGGTTGGGTGAGCGATCTTCGTTGGGTATTTCGACGAGCTGAAGGTGGTTGTCGAGTTGGAATTGTTTGTACGTTCCTTGAGGGAGTGTTACTCTGGCTGGGTGTAGAACTTTGGTGTGGATTGTGACGTGCAGTATGTGATCGTGTTTGGCGATATTTGAGATGCGGCTGCAGAACGAGTTACCCGATGAATTGGTCGGCCGACATCGATGATTGTCAGACATGGGGTGATATCTTTACTCAATTGATAGTTGGCGAAAGCCGGTTGAAGGTGACAACAATGTGCCTTGAATAACTTGAGACGTTTACTTTTTCTGAAATGGAAACACGCGTCTTACTGTAGAGGTCGGCGAGGGCGGCCGGGACGGTGGCAGAGGGCTGGTAAGACTCCTTGTCGTGGGTAGTTCCCAGGTCGCGGTGCTCGTCGGTCTTGTTGAGGATCTCGTTGATGGTCTGGTCCCACAGGCGGCGGGCGCACTGGTAGTGCAGCGGCGGGAAGTCTCAATCCTTGATGATCAGGTCGTCCTCGACGATCTCGCCCGTGCACCCGTCGGCCAGGTCTTCCTCGTTAGTCGCTACGTCGGAACACACGCAGTGCACCTTTGCAGTGGATATCGGATGGGTGACAGGGAAAAATATAAGGAGTAAATTTCACATAGTTTTACTACATAAAGAAATGATGTTTTATTTTATGACGTCGACGGTTGAACTCGGTGTACTGACAGGGGAAAATGTAAGGAATAAATGTCACATGGTTTTCCTACACTAAAAAATGTTAATTTTTTCATGACGTCGACCGGTGAACACGGTGTACTTTTTGTGACATATGGGAAACTAATTTACAGCAACAGTCGGATGCATCCGCGCACCCATATCTAGGTAACTACGCACACACACGACTGTTCACTACAACAATCACGTTCCGATGTAAACGGGTGGACACATGATTTACCCCGATAAGGCTGGTGGGGGCGACGGTGACGTGCTTGAACTTCTTGCCGTCCGAAGACTTGGCACCAGCGCAAAGACGCCACACCGCGTGGATATTATTCCACTCTGACAACAACAGCAAGCGAAAAGGGCATTGTTGTGGAGAGATTTACAACAGTTGCGGTTACGATGCAGTTTCATGTCAGGGCTTCATTCAACACCTGAACAACATTCGGGCACATATCAGGCGGATATTTACTTGATATATTAAAGAGAAAAAATTCTTTTACCTTTGTAGCCGCGGCTGTTGACCTGTTCGGTTGGGATCCCGAGCGAAGGAGTACCTCCCACCGGGGCGAGGCAGAGCTGGCACGGCTTGGGGTACGTTGTCGACCGGGTGAGGATGGTGCAGGATACGTTACAACTGTCCTCGTCGCGGTTGTTGTTAAGGTCGCAAGGGGCAAACTTGCCTTTACCGTCGCGCTTGTTAATGAGCTTGAGGTGACCGCCGTCGTCGCAGTCGGGCCCGGGGCAAGGCCAGCCACAGTTAGTTGGTGTCGGCCTTTTGTACAGGGCGGCGGGACTCTCCACTACGACTCTCTGACCGGGTGGACTTACGCTTTGCTGGGGAGCTACGGGAGAGGGCGTTCATGTTGTGTTGCAGCTGAAGGTCGATGCGGGGATGAGAGGGGAGGATGTCGAAAATGAAAGTGACCGGGTGCGGCCGGTGGGGCTGGAGCACGTTTTCACGCTTTACAGACTAAATTCTGACTAACTTGGAGAGGAAATTCGGAACATTCAACGAAATGTGCACTCTTTCATTCACTCTGTACAGACAAACTCTGACAAACTTCCAGCAAATATTCTAACTTTTGACTAACTTCCAGCAATTATTTCATGAAACGGTGTGGTATCACGAAAAGTTCATCTCTCTTGTTTAACTGTACATGCAGTCTACAGCAGCAGCACCTTCAATACAACAACAACAGCAGTGTTCACAGTATTTCCGAAGTCATATGCCCCCAACCTTGCAGCACTTGCAGCCATTGATGTTGCCGTGAGATTTACGTGCGTGCATGTTCAAGCTC